TGTTCCTTGTTACTCCTGGTAGTGCTCGGGGGAACAGGGACTCTCCCATTGCCTGCTGGTCTCCCTTGGCCAGCTTATAGACAGCCAGCAGATCCCCTCTTAGCCTTCTCTTGTGGAGGCTGAACAGGTTCAGATCCCATAGCCTATCCTAATAGGACCGGCCATGCTGCCCCCCTGATCATGCGAGTGGTCCTCCTCTGGACCCTCTCGATGTTTTCCGACGTTGTCTAGATTCCTATTTAAGAAGACAGAGGCAAAAAATTCATTGAAGAGCTCTGCCTTGTCCCTGCTATGTGTCACTAAGCCCCCCTGCCCATCCTGTAAGGGTCCTATGCTACCCTGCACCCTCTTTTTGCTCCCAGCGTATCTAAAGAAGGATTTTTTATTGTCCTTAATCCCTGCTGCTAGCCTGAGTTCTAGAGCTGCCTTGGCCTTCCTGACTGACTCCCTGCCGGTGTGGGCCAAGGAAGTGTTCTCCTCCTTGCTAGCTACCCCTTGCTTCCACTTCCTGTACTTTTTTTGCCCTTAAGGTATCCTGGATGACCCTGGTTAGCCAAAGGGGCTTCCTGGCCCCTTTGCCCCCTTTTCTCTGCCATGGAATTGTCTCACTCTGAGCCCAAAGAATGGTATTCTTAAGGAATGACCACCCTCCTGGATCCCCAAAACATCTAGGATCTTGGTTTGTAGTACCCTGCTAACCAATGCCCCGAGCCTATTAAAGTCAGCCTTTTTAAAGTTTAGCACCTGTGTCCTGCTAGATATAGTGCCCGCCCTTCTCTGGATAGTGAATTTTATCATCCGGTCATCGCTGTCCCCTAAGTTGCCTTGAAACTGCAAGTCCCCCACCAGGTCATCCCCTGTGGTCAACACCAAGTCGAGCAAGGCGTTACCCCTGGTGGGACTCCTTACCTCCTGTGTTAAGTGGAGGTCCTGAGTGCAGGTTAAGAACCTGCGTGAGTGGTTAGATCTAGCTGACTGTTCCTCCCAGCATGTGTCTGGGTAGTTAAGGTCCCCAATGACTACCATGTCTCTAGACTGCACAGCCTCTGATCACTGCCTGGAAAATTCCTTGTCTAGCTCATCCTCCTGATGTGGAGGCCTGTAGTAGACCCCCATCACCAGGTCCCTTTCCCCCGACCCCCTTGGATCCTAACCCAAAGAGTCTCTGCTTGTCCATCCTCTGATCCTAATCTGATTAGGGAAGATGTGTACTGTTCTTTGACACAGAGAGCAACAGCCACTCCTTTTTTCCCTTCTCTCTCTCTCTCCTGTGCAACCTAAAGCCCTCTATTCCTATTACCCAGTCATGAGTAGAGTCCCACCAGGTTTCCATTAGACCCACTAGGTCAAAGTTATTGCTTGCAAGCAAGAGTTCTAGATCCTCTTGCTTTTCTCCCATGCTCCTGGCATTTGTATATATACATTTAATTCTCCTGGTGACTACCCCTAGATTGCCCCTATTCTCCTGCCTAATAGGTTCTTTGATACTTACCTGGGCTGATCTTATGGGTATCAGCCTCTCGGGCCTCTCCCATGACCCTCGTCTGAATGGGGACCAGCCAGTTTGCCTGGCCCTGGATGGAGCTTTGACCCACAGCCTTCTCTGGGTAACTCATAACTCTTGCTCGTTGATTAGGGCTTGCCCATTCGGCCTCAGGTACACTTGTGGCCTCAGGCATTTGAGGACTTACCTGGGCCTAACTGTCCCCTTCCTGGGGCTTCTACACATGCCCCCTCTCTGAGGCCTCAACTTTTTCACCCTGTGGGCACTCTGCCAATCTCTGGCTTGTAACACCACACACTCCATCCCTTCACTGAGGTACCTACTTTGCCCCCCCTCCCTGGGGTCCATACTCCTCCCCTATGTTGGGGGGCTTCAGGGTCTTACACCCTCATGGGCTCAGGTGCCTCTCCCTAGGCATGCCTGGTCCCACCACCCTCTGGTCTTCATCACCCAATGAATGGTGGGGGCTTGGGTTATCAGGCGTCCCTACCTGCCTTTCACCAGGGAGGTAACTGGCCTGGCATTTCTGGGGGACTGTCCCACCATGGACAGCTCCACCAGACCACCCTATCCTGGCAGGGTGCAGTTTTAGGTTTTACCCAGGACCAAGCAGGCCTACCTGCCCTGGTCTAGCTCCCTCATTACAGCTCCTGTATGCTGTCCTTGGGTTCTCTCTGTCATTGAGTCCAGCTCTCAGTCTGGCCCCATTCCGATCTTATAACAGCCTGTATGCTGGCTGACCTCTACCCTCTTCAGCTGTGATGTGTTTCCCGTCCCTGCTCCCCTCTCCCCGCATAACGGGGACCTTCAGCCCTTACAGGCTCTGACCCTGCCTTCAGGCTAGTTGGGGTGCCAGATAGCTCACAGTGGCCCTGGCCTGCCTCTTGTGTTGGGCTTAATTGCCCTTTGGCCCTAGCCCTCTTGTATTGACCAGAGCGAGGAATCAGAGAGACAACCTAGCAGCTGCTGATGCCCATACTCCAGAGAGGGGTCCCTTTTGGGTCCCATCAGAGAGCCCTCTGCTACTCCTGGGTTTGCCTAGACCCTTTGTAGGCCTACCAGCTGTTAGCCCCCCTAGGCTTGGCCTTGTTTTAACTTGGCTGAAATCTTCTTCCTGGGGATTTGGACCCCCACTGGGTCTGTAGGATTGTCCTGCCATCCCTGTAGTTCCTCCCTTACCACCAAAGTGTTCTGTGAGCAGCAGCTCAGCCAGGTATTGTTGCTCCTTCGGCTGCTTGCAACAAACTGCTGTTTCAGCCTAGAGAGCCAGGATCTAAAATGGTCGCCTCAACAGGGCTGGCCTGCAGTTTCCGGCTGCCTGCTCTCAACCCTTAAAGTGACAGAGCACCAAAATTGCTCTGTCACATGTAGCCTTTTGTAATTTTTTTTTCAGGAGTAAAACTTATTTGTTTGAAGAATTTTTGTTTAACTGGCACAACAAGCTGAGGAAGATGGAAGAACACACTATCATGACTGTGAAGTTGCAAAAAGAAGTGGACAAATACAAAGTAAGAACTTCACTAAATTTTGAATATATTAAAATTAATCCTGGTATTACTGGAAAATATATGTCACCATGGCAACTGTGTAAAATGGAGCTTGGTGGATATTTTCAAATGCAGTAAGTTTATCATTATTATTTGCTATTATAATTTTTATTTGAGAAAATAAAACTCACTTTAAACCATGCTTCAATATGTCACCTATTTTTGAAGCATATCCAAATGACTTATAATGAAAAGATCAGTCATTACAGTTTTTATCACTCTGTTTAGCAGTATGTTTTAGGATGCTGGCAGATGTCTATTTAATAGCATAATGAGATCTGATCCTCAATTCCCCGTAATTATCCCTTTTGCCATGCCACATGTGCATAACAGGAGGAGTGATTGTTGGGACTGAGGATCAGATCCCAGTCACACCACTACTAGCACAGAGAGTCCAGGGTGCAGGTCCACCTATGGGCTGGCATATTGGGATCCTGGGATCAGGGAATGGATCATGGTCCCTGGGAGCCTCGGTGTCTAAAAATCATGGGTGCAGCTAGGCTGCATACACAATTTTTAAAGGTTCTGGTGCTTGTTTTTTAGATGTTAAAGTACATTGAATCCTGGATTTGGGAAGTGGTTCCTTGATCCTGGACTCTGGGCATGCTAGGATCTTTAAAAGCTGTGTGCCCATGTGGGTTTTAGACATCCTGCTGCATGGGGACCCTTTTAAAAACCATGTGTGCAATACAACTTAACACACCACACATTCAAATTAAAGTGCCATACAAATGAGCCACAAAAACAGTCTACATTACATGTAGAATATCTTTGTAGCTTGTTTGCCATTTTATGTTGTAATGAGTTGAGTGGGTGGTACGTGTTGCATATTTATTATGTGATTAACTTGTTCATTGCATAGGAAATATAACATTTGCTGGGGGCCTTAATGTGACTAACCTAAATGTTAAAATTAGAGAAGTTGGTATATTCAAATATGTATTATTTTCTGTAGATGACACTTCCTGTCCTGAAATATGTTAGAGGAGAACACCTTTCTCCAGATCACTGGCTGGATCTCTTTCGTCTTCTTGGTCTTCCTAGAGGCACTAGCCTAGAGAATTTGTTATTTGGAGATCTGCTCAAAGTAGCAGATGTAATTGTAGAAAAAGCAGCAGAGCTTAAGGTAATAATTGCTTTATTGGTAATATTATTAATTATTATATACTTTCCTGCATTTACTCAAAATACAAGATGAGATTTTTTTCACCCAAATAGCAGGAGGGAAAAAAAGCTCCTCATTTTAAACTTGCATACAAGGAAACTTCATTAAATACATTGTCTATCATTAAAATGCTGCCAAAAGCAGCATATGTTTAGTCATGGAAACCAAATATGAAGCTGATTTAAATATAGCCAACTGAGCATGACTATAAAACACAGGGCCCATATGGGGGTAAACAAGCTGGGTTTTACATTGGAATATTTTTCCTGTCCCAGGCCAAATTAGCCAGATCAGTTCTGAATCCTTTGAATCATTCAAAAAACATACGTGGCCCTGCTACCAATAAGTATCCTTCACCCTGGACTTTTCAGCCTGGGGTTTCAAATACTTCCAAATCCATTGGCAGGCATACAGGCTCAAGCCTGGAGGCTTGGGGTTCAGAAGCCCCCGAGTTTTGCTTGCCCTCATCAAACAGCCGCAGGAGCAAGCTAGGGAGAAGTTCCTCATTTTCATATGGGAACCTACCAGACGGATTTTATTTTATTTTATTTATTTGGGTTTTTTTATGGAAAATTTTTCAGGTCCCACGTCAAATTAGCCCTGTCAGGTCCAAATTCGTTTGAATTGTTTGGGAACCATATGTGACCCTCCTACCAGCAAGTATCCTCCACCACAGCCTGGGGCTTCAGATACTTCCAAATCCTTTGGCAGGCATCCTACGTGCAAGCCCAAGCCCAGAGACTTGGAGTTCAGATGCCCTCCGAGTCAGGAGCAAGCTAGGGAGGAGTTTCCCATTTCCATAAAGTTAGTGTGTAATTGAGATCCTCCCACTGGAGTATTCCCAGCGGTGTATTCCATAAACACACTTTCAAGCAACACTTTTTAAAAATAACTTTATGTACCCCAGGCCAAATTAGCCAAGACTAATTTAAAGTAGAACCATAAGTGACCCTACTACTGGCAAACATCCTCCACCCTCATCTGGGGCTTCAGATGTTCCCCAGACCTTTGGTGGGCATCCCACTTGCAGGCCCAAGCCCAGAGGCTTGGGGTTCAGATGCCTCTGAGTTTTGCTTGCCCTTAGCCACAGGGCCCTTGGAACAAGCTAGGGAGGAGACTCCCATTTCCGTAAAGTAGGCTTAAAGCCACTACACCTCAGTGGATACTGAACCACGCCAGAAGAGCAGTTCTTTTTTTATTTTTATTTTTTATTAAAATATATTTCTATATCTAGAAAGGGAGTTATGATAAAGGAGATATAGATATAGAGATATAGATATAGATATATCTATATATAGATAAATAGATATAGATATATCTATATATCTATATCTATATATAAGCTTTCCATCACATATCTTAAAACTGCATTAAGAAACCCACGCTTCCTTTTACAGTAAACACACCCAATCCTCTGAGCCCCATCCGTCCACCCTTGCTTACCCAAATCTCAGTCTTTTAGTTCAAACCCCAGTTTGGGGTTTACATTCTGTGTTCATTCACTGTCTTTGTCACTGTTGCTGTTGATGTTGCTGTCACTTCCGCTGCTGTTGATCCTGTTGTAGTCCTTCTCGCTGTCTCCAGGTCCAGTTGGATCTCTGTCCTCTTCATTCTCTCTGTCCACTTCGCCTCCCAGGGGGTCTTTGAATAACCTGTACCAGGTGTTGCTTTTCCAGGTGAAGTTGGCTACGTGTTCTCCATCCTCACTCACTGATTTTTGGTGGTAGGACTGAAGTGTGCTCAAAAACATTTTAACATAATCTGTTTCTTTGAGCTCTGTGTGCCTGTATACCAGGAGATTCCTGCATTGCCACAGAGCACTCCTGACACAGGACACAAACTGGTTGAAAAACTTTGTCTGGGACTCTTGCTGCTCAATCTGGTGTCCGTACATCACTGCCTCCCTTGTCATTAGCCTGGCTTCTGTCACTCTTTCAAGGAGCTGGCTTACCTTTTCCCACACACCCTTGGAATAGGGGCATTGCCATAGGAGGTGGTCAATGGTCTCTGCTGCTTCTTGGCAAGTTTCCCTGGGGCAATTGGGTTGAATCCCTCGTCCCTCCCTGTACCTCCATGCCCTCACTGGGCGTACTTGGTGTGCTATCAACCAACTCAAGTCCTTGTGGTCCTTGTGGAGGTCCTTCTGGAAGGTCCAGTTCCAGATGGCTTGGCAGTCCTCATTGGGGAGCGTCTCCATGGTTGTTAACCTGTCTCTGTCTCTGATTGCTCTCTGTATCTTTTTGTGGTTGGACATAGTTGCTGTGCTTTCCTTCTGTAACTCATATTCGCTCTGGAACTCATTCAGGACCCTGTAGAACCAGGACTGCTCCATGGTCTCCCATTGGTTAGTGTCCCATGGTCTCCACCACCTCAGAAGGTGACCTGCAAAAAACTTTACTAGACAGGCTGTTTTGGTCTCTGGTCTGGTCGGCAGCTTACAAATCTGGCTCGTGTACCTTGCCTGCAGGAACAGGTGGATGTCTGGCATCCCCCATCCCCCTGCCCCTAGCCCATTTCTTTTTGTACAGGGTCTTCCTTGCCATCTTCTCCATTTGGGATCCCCAGAAGAAGGTGCTCACAGCTCTCTGGATTCTGTGGATGATGCGCTTTGCAGGGCGGGGAAGACCAGTGCTTTGTACAGATGCACTGGTAGCAACACCGCCTTTATGAGTACCATGCGCCCGCCCATGGAGAGGCGATGCCCATGCCACATACTCAACCTCTACTTCACCTTGGCCTTCTTCTCCCAGGCTCTCTTTCCACTCAGCTTCAGGTCAAATTCCACCTCGAGGATCTTGACCCCCTCACAGGGGACCAAGATTCCCAAGGACTCCAGGTCTTCGAGCTCACCTACGGCCAGGCAGGTGCTTTTGCTCACATAGAGCTTGGCCTCTGCTGCCGCTTTGTAAATCCATGTGTGCCACAGGGCTCTTTCTACTGTGCACTTATTCTTGCTCAGGATGTTCAAATTGTGCATGTAGGCCAGGACTTTGGCTTGTTCCTTACTTCCCCTGGAGATTTGGACTCTGTGGTTTCCAGGGTCCTGTCTGATGCAATGAGCCAGGGGTTTGATGGTGCAGATGAAGAAGATCAGGAAGAGTGAGCAGCCCTGATGGACCCCTGACTCACTTGTTATCCACTTGCTCAGGAAACCATTTACAAGCACCTTGATGCTTATGTCCATGTACAGTGTCCTTATGCAGCTGGTGAAAGTCGGAGGGATGTCCATCCACTGCAGGGTCTCGAAAGGGAACTGGTGTGGCACTCTGTCATAGGCTTTTTCCAGGTGCAGGTTCAACACTGCCATCTCCTGTCTGCTGTCTCGTTCCAGCTGGAGCACGTATCTCATTTGTAGCAGGGCTCCTTGGATCTGGCGTCCTGGTACTATACACGACTGGTCCTCGTGGATGACAGAAAGGAGGAGGGAAGGGGCTGCAGGGGAGGAAATTGGCAGATACAAGGGGACCACTTGATTCCTCAGATTTATTTTGTCTGTTGGAGCAATGGGAGGTTGAGAAATTCAAGCGCAACTTCCAATAATTAGATTCTATACCTGGAAAATGATGATACATTTATAAATTTTCCATATATAGGATCTAATTATTAGGGAGTTGTCTTATATTTGGGGTTGTCTTATATTCAAATTAATATGATATTTTATATTTTTATTAGTCACTGGAAACTACAGTGTGTATTTTCCCCCAGTAAAACTGTTTCCCTTGACTTTTAAATATTTTGTATGTCATATCAACAATAATGATTTTGAAATCATATACTTTTTATTATGTCTCTGAATTAGAAGTTGTGGATATTATTAATTTTTAAACAAAATGTATTTTATATTTTAAAATAGGATTTAAACAGTCGAGCACAAGGTGAAGTCACAATCAGAGAAGCATTACGTGAGCTGGAACTCTGGGGAGTTGGAGCTGTCTTTTCATTAACAGACTATGAAGACAGTCAGGGTAGAACTGTCGTGCTGATTAAAGACTGGAAAGACATAGTCAACCAAGTTGGAGATAATCGCTGTCTTCTTCAGTCCCTCAAAGACTCTCCTTATTACAAAGGCTTTGAGGATAAAGTGTCTATTTGGGAAAAAAAACTTGCTGAATTGGATGAGTACCTGCAGAATTTAAACCAGATTCAAAGGAAGTGGGTGTATTTGGAACCCATATTTGGTCGTGGAGCTCTGCCCAAAGAACAAGCACGCTTTAACAGAGTTGATGAAGACTTTAGGTTAGTGTTATTTAAGACATTTTTATTTTGTATAAAGTCCTTGACACCTGGGCATGTCCAAATACTCTTCAGAATAAATACAAATAATACAAAAAAATAGTTGTTATATATAGGGAGGTGAAGGCAGGGAGGAAGCAGGGGTGGATCTGAGGCAGGGGCATAAACTTAAACAGTCTTATAGAGGGGAGGGAAGTTAGATTTATTGAACTGGGTGGACTGGAGGAGAATGTGAAGTGTTAGAGGTTATATACATAGTAGTCAAGTAGAAGTTGTTATTTTGGAAAATAAATAGAGATGAAACATAAGTGGCCCTACTACCCCTGGGTGTCTGGTGCCTCTTGAGTCAGTGACTGGGGAGGGGCGGTCCCCCAGCGGCCAATCCTGCTGACCGGTGTCGGGTCCACTGGCAGCCGATACCGCTGGCCAGGGGGGACTGATCTCACTCACAGTAAAAGCAGCCGCACTGCTTCCAGAACTCCAGTAGCCACTTCCGGAAGCAGCACGGATGCTTTTGTTGGTGGTACCTGCTCCCTGGCTGGCACTCGCAGGGGGGTACTGCCCCCCTGCCCACCGGCTACACAGGGAGTGCGGCCTGACAGGGGGTGCACTGGTGCTCTCAGGGGGGGCAAATGCACCCCTGTGCACACCCCTACGCATCACCTCTGCTACTATGGAAAACATCCTTCGCCTGTACCTGGGGCTTTAGATGTTTCCAAAACCTTTGGTGGGCATCCTACTTGCAGGCCCAAGCCCAGAAGCTTGGGGTTCGGATGCCCCCAAAGTTTGCTTGCCCTTAGCCATAAGGCCCTCGAAGCAAGCAAGAAAGACGACTCCCATTTCCATAAAGTGGGCTTAAAGCTGCTGCACCTCGGCGGGTACTGAACCATGCCAGAAGAGCAATTCTCCTGATGAAGAGATGAAGTTAGATTTTGAAGAAACATTTATTTTCCCAAATTATGACTTTACCAAGAAATTACACTGAAGAAGTGTAAATAAAGCAACAAGTTTACTTATTCAAGATGTGGAGAATGGATGAATAGGGAGGATTCTTTAGAGCATTAGTTCTCAACCTCATTACACCCAAGGAAGCTGTCATTGGACTCAAGGCATCCCCTGGATAATGTCAGCTTAGTTTTTGCTCATTTTTTGACTATTAAAAGTAATAGAACAATTTTTCTGTCATAAAGAGTGGAGAAAGGCCAAAACAGGTCAGAATATTTTTATCACTTTGCATTCCTATTTGAAATTTCTGGGTTTATCTTGTGAGCCAGGGTACCCTGGCACTCTAGTTGAGAATCAATGCTTTAGAGACACGCATAGTTCAGTATCCAGAGTTTAAATGTGATAGTTGAACAGCAGTGATTTCATAGATTCATGGATGCTAGGGTCGGAAGGGCCCCCAGTAGGTTACCGAGTCCAGCCGCCTGCCCTGGGCAGGAAAGAGCACTGGGGTCAGATGACCTCAGCTAGGTGCTTGTCCAGTCTCCTCTTGAAGACCCCCAAGGTAGGGGAGAGCACCACATCCCTTGGAAGCCCATTTGTACAGAGGTAAAATATTTAGGGGTAAAGAAGTTAAGAATTGTATTTTTTGAATTTTTGGAAAGAAGGGTCTTTATGTAGGAGAAGTGATTGTCAGAGAATAGGCAGTCTGTAAAAAGTATAGGCAATAGATTTTGAATATTGGACCTTCAATATTAATTTCAGTTTAAGTGTAAAATTTATGTGTGCCCTAAATTGTTAGTAGTTCAGACAAAAAGTGGTTAACCTTATTTATTTAAATTCAAGGTGAGCTCCCCCCACCCCATTCAACATGGGCAGGAAAAAGCCCTTTATTTTTAGGTATGAGTACAGGCTACAGGGGAGGGGGGAAGCAGCTGTGGATTTGACCTTGAACTTGGGTTTGTAGTTGGAGCAGCAGCCTTTGCTCCCTGGTACCAACTCTCACTGTCTCTGCTTCTTCCCCCATTGTCACCACCACGTTTGTCCTCATTGCATTGCTGCCTGGGGCCTTGCTCCAGTCCAGAGCACAGAGCATATAGGATAGGACACCAGGCAGCAGTGGCAGTAGCAACTCTGGCTCCAGCTCTGGGCTGGAACTGTTGCTACCACATATGCTCTGTGCTCCGTCCCCTGAGTCAGAACAGGGCCCCAGCCAGAGCCAGAGATATGATGGGTAGCTATGGGAAGTGGGGAGGTTGGGGAGGGAGATGACACAGGGGACAGGTACAAGGGGGTCACGTGCCAGGAGATGTAGGTGTGGGGGGCAAGCACCACTGTGTGGGGAGGCAGCAAGTAGCTGGCAGGGACAAGTGCCAGGGGGTGTAGACATTGCAGGCCGATGCAGGCAGCATGTAGTAGCGGGATAGGTGGGGAGTGGAAGGGGTGCCAAACAGGGGGCACAGGCAGCAGGAGGAGCAGGTGAGGGGGACAGAAAGCACAAGTGTCAGGGTACAAGGTACAGGTGGGGCACAGGCACTGCAAGGGTGGGCAAGTGGTGGGTGGTCAGGTGCTGGGGATAGGTGTGAAATGTGCAGACAGTGGTGGGGAACAGGTGGCAAGTGGAAGGGGTTACGTGGCCTGTCCCCTCACCTCCTGCCCCCTGCTGCTACTTTCCCCACTGCAATTGTGGGCAGGACAAATTTAAGATAACCCTTCAAAAATTAGATTCCATACATGGAAAACTGTAATAACATAATAAATTTTCCATGTCTACAAATTCATTTATTAAGACTCTGTCTTAAATTTGAAGATGTCTTGGATTTGGGAAAATGCAGTATTTAAAAGAAGTACAGCAAAAGATTAACGAAAGATTCTTGTTATTTTTTGTCTTTAAAGATCAATTATGTTAGATATCAAGAGAGACAATAGGATAACATCACTCAATGCTCGGGCAGGAATAAGGAATACTTTGATGACCATACTTGATCAGCTTCAGAGATGTCAAAAATCCTTGAATGAATTTCTGGAGGTACACATTTTAAAATTGTTATAGAGAACTATAAAAAGCAGTACATGTGCATTTAAAAAAAAGAACAAATGGGGTGGTTGTTTTGTTTTTGTTTTTACAGGAAAAGCGTTCAGCATTCCCTAGGTTCTATTTTATTGGAGATGATGATTTATTAGAAATCTTGGGACAATCTACTAATCCTTTGGTTATTCAGTCTCACCTTAAGAAACTTTTTGCTGGTAAGCTAAATTAGAATTTTCATGACAGTTATACTTTATAAAATATATTTATTTAGAAGTAGTCATTTGAGACTAACAAATCTTTTGTAAAAATTGTTTCTTTACTTCTTGTTACCATAACATAGCCTATAAAAAGAACACCTTTTGTAAAATATAGCACCCTTGAAACTGTAACATTCATATAAGAATGTTGGCATAACAGATAGAAATATTGATTCGCTTTGTTTGAGAATTGACTTAAATAAGTGATGTTTCAAGAAACAAATGTTTAAAAATTCATCAGCAAACCATTCAACTTGTATTTAATCATTTGCTGAACGTATCTAATAATTTGCTGAACATAGCTGAATGTGCTCCTGCTTTCTGATTAACAGGCATCAACAGTGTGAACTTTGATGAAGAATTTAAACACATCATTGCAATGAAATCTTTAGAGGGAGAAATAGTGCCCCTTAAAAATAAAATTCTTCTGTCAAATGATGTTGAGGTAAGGGAGTCATATCAAAATATAATTCTAGAATAATTGATAAATACATTTGTTATCTGAGTTTTGACTTTCTCCCCCTATGTTTTATTTGCAGGTTTGGCTAAACAATTTGGCTTTGGAGATGAAGTAAAAGTTGAAGCAATTATTGTTTGACTGTGTAACTG